TGACAATCATCAGAGAAGGAGAGGAGGGAGAAGAAGAGGGAAAGAAAGAGCCGAGCAAGAGATTGAGGAGAGGAGGGAGGAGGAGCAGGATGAAGACGAAGAGGAAGGTGGCAAGGAGGGAGTTGAGGGGCTGCAAAGGAGAAGATGAAGATGAAGGAAAGGGAGAGCGGAACAGGGAGCCACATACCAGACTAACATGGAAACTCGTCCGCTTTCTCATGAGAGACAGAGTCAAGGTCGTTCCCTAGAGCGAGGAGCAGCCCCGTCAGCAAGGGGAGGGCAGCAGGTAGCAGCAAGTGAAGATCACATGCTCCCCCTTGATCTTCTTGGCGATGTCCTGCAAGCTCGTCCTATCGCCAATGGCGAGGCGGGATCCGTCGCTTTCCACCGCCACAAGCTTGTCCATGGTCTTGATCCTCCCGTCCTGCCGTCCGATCAGTCTCGCTGGAGGACAGGGAACAGAAGAGGGAAAGAGCGGGAACAGGAGAGAGAGCGGGAGCGGGAGCGGGAGCGGGAGAGAGAGGGGCAGAGCGAAGGAAGGAGAGTGGGAAGGGGGGGGGGGGGGGGGAAAAAAGAAATAAAGGGAGAGGTAAAAGAAGGGGGACCCAGCGGGAAAAATACAGGAAGAAAGGGGAAATAAAGGATACCCGGGCAACAGGCCCCCCCCTTTGGGATCTCCCCCGACCCCCTAACAACTTCTTGGGGGGAATAAGCAGCAATCCCACCCCTTCAAGACAGTCATCGTTCAAGCCTCCTCTTCCTCCTCCTCTCCCCTGCATCTCCACCGGCCTGCCGTTTTGTCTCTCTCTCCCTCTCTCTACCCTCCGTCAGGCTTCCTCTCCACTCCCTTCCTCTCCCTTCCTCTCTCTCTCTCCTCCTCCTCCTCCTCCTCCTCCTCCTCCTCCTCCCTACCGCACGTGACGGTTGGCTGGTCAATCGAGCTTCTGTCGTGGACTCTGTCTATCTCCAAGTGCTCGAGCCCTTTGCTGATCCTCTCACACGTGCTCTTGTCCAGCCCGAACGCCTGCAGGTGCGTCTGCTGCTTCGCCAGCTCGTGCAGCCCTCGGACGTTGCCGAGCAGCAGCAGCTCTAGAGCCTGAGCGCAGTGGTGCCGCTGCAGGAAGTGCTTGAGCGCCGCCATCTGCCTCTCTGCCTGCACTATCGGCATGGACGAAAGGATCTGGAGCATGTAGATGAGGAGAGCACGAGGGGAGGGGGAGGGGAGGAGGGGGACAAGAGCAAGACAAGGGAGAGGAGGGGAGCGAGAGGAGCAGGAGGACAAGGGAGGGTTGCGAACATCTTTCATGCCTTCTCTGCGTCTTCCGGTGGGATATCCAACTTCGCGAAGTCATGCTTCGTCATCTTGTGGAGCACGGAAGAGTTGTTCCATGAAGCCTGCACAACAGTCTTCACCTCCTCGCAGTCACTTTCATCTCTACTCAGTCACCCCTCTCTCATTCACTCCCTCCTGAGTTTCCCTTCTCCCTTCGCCCATCTCCTCGTGCTCCTCTTGATCCTCCTGCTCCTCGTCCTCGTCCTCGTCCTCCTCGTCATTCTCCTTCCCTTAGAATCCTTTCAACCCCCCCTCCTCCATACTTGCTGTTTTCCTTCTCCCTCCCCTCCTACTCACCCCGACAAGGCGCTGAAAGTGTTTCTCCATTCCGATTTGCGACAGAAAGGACTTTACATCCATCCCAATGTCTGACACAGTCTCCTCTTGCTCCGAATTTGCTGGCTCGTTGCTCCTCTCCTCCTCTGCAACTGGGGCTGCTTCTGCTGGTCCATCCTCTTCCTCCGCATCCGGAGGAGGGGTTGTCACCTGCTCCCAGTCACTTCCCACTGCCTCCTCCTCCCCCCCCCCCCCCATCCTTGAAAAATGTTATTTATCCTAGATGAGAGGAGGAG